AAGGAAAAAAATTATGTTTAAAAAAAGGCAAAAAATAAAAAAACCACGTGGTGTGCTTATGCATCATGCGAAATCACTAGTTCTCAGGAGCCATGGAGGAGTATTCTTCTGATGGCTTGTCTCTTGTCTCTTCCAGATGGGAGGGGGAAAGGGGATTGTTAGCAAGATAAGGTGGAGCTGAAAGCCAAGAGAATACTTTGCCTTAAAGATTTTTAAAAAGGGGGACCAGCAGCTGGTGTATTGGCTATATCGCTGGAGTCCCACGTAGTCAACTGCGGTTTGAGTCCTGGACCTGGTGGCTTAAACTCACACTGGGCACATGTGCATGCGTGCCCAAGATCCCGAGAGGAGAATGGAGAAGGGATTGCGGTGTGGCCACCCCCTGGGGGGGGATTTCTCGCTTTCTGTCTCTTTGTCTCTCTCTGTCTTTCTGGCGAGCGCATGTGCCTTATAGCAAAAAACACTCCAAAAAAAATTTAAAAAGGAAAAATTACTAAAAAAGAGAAGACGGAGACAGAAGCAGAGAGAGACAGAGACAGAGAAAAGGCTAGAAAGGCTCCTTACCACTCGAGCTTGGGGACTGGAGGCTGAATTTTCAGGAGAAAATCTTCATTTCTCTTTTTCCCCTGAACTCACTAGTTCTCAGGAGCCATGGAAGAGTCTTCTTCTGAAGGCCTGCCCCTTGCCTCCAGTGTTATTGATTTTCTAAAAGCAAGATGAGAGTAAAAAAAACCACATTGATGATTCTCTTCTAGATGGAGAAAAATGAGTAAGTAAAGTAGCACCAAATCCATGGGCACAACTCAGATCAAAGGAACGAAATCTCGTTACATGTGCAAATTGCAGAAGTATTAAAGAGCAATCTTTCTGGCATCATTAAGAAGGATCCAAGAGAAAATAATTGTGTTTCACATGCATTTTGAAATGGAAAACTTTGAAGAGCCAGCAGGTGGTATAGTGGTTAGGGCACTGGATTTCCACATGGCCAACTGCGGTTTGAATCCCAGACCCAGCAGCTTGATAATCATGGTGCATGTGCCTGCATGCCCAAATTCTAGGAGGAAAATAGAGAAAGGAGTACAGTCTGTCTATCCCTCCGGGGGGGGGGTGGTGTGATTTCTCACTTTGGCAATGGGTCAGCATGTCCTTGGTGAGCCACCAGCGTCAGCACCTACGGGGTACAACGGGTACTCTACAAATGGCTGATAAGTGGACAAGCGGGACGAGACAGAGCTGAGGACTGTTCACTGGTCATAACCTCCAGCAGTTCCTTAGAGTCCAAGAGTCCACACAAACTGTGTGCACATGTGTGTGTGCACGTGTACACACACAGGGAGTTTTGGTGGTCGTTGTTTGTTTCACAAAACAGGACAACAATGTATTCCTGAGTCTCTTATTGGTATGTCGCAGATATTGCTCCAGTTCTAAATATTGTATCTATTTATTTCAAACTGCTAAACACTGTTTCATGATATTTATGTCCCGCAGCTTATTCTGCTAGTCATCTAACTCTGTTCCTTGCCTTTTTTTTTTTTTGGGAGGTTTTTGCAATAGGGGGTGTGGCCTCGCCAGAAGAGAGAGACAGAGAGATAGAAAGTGAGAAATCACCCCCCAGGGTCCTCCATTCTCCTCTCAGGATCTTGGGCACATATGCACATGTGCCTGGAATGAGTTTAAGCCATTGGGTCCAGGAATCGAACCGTGGTCGACTATGTGGGAGTCCAGCGACATAGCCATTACGCTAACTGCTGGTCTCGAACCCCATTCCTTGCTGAGGAATGTTCAGGTTTGCGTTCTAGGACATTATGTTATGACTTCAAGCAATATCATAACACAGATAAAGTACCTTATAGTTTTTACATAATAGTTCTTTTAGTCATTTTTCCTAAGTGTTTTACAGTTTTTGTTGCAACTATAAATGTGTTATATCTTTTATTTCTATCTCTGATTATTCACTACTCAACAATCTTATCAAAATTTATATTTTAAAAAAGCACAGTCATTTCTAAGAGAGGTACTTTGATTTTCTTTGTTCTAAATTCCAAGCCAAATATCAGAGCTATTAAATTAATTAGAATCTGTAAAAATGATGGAATAATTTTGGCAAGAGCTGGGACTCTTTTCTTGCTACTGATTTTAATGGAGACTGATTTTCATTTTATCAGTTTGCACTAGATTTCCCATTTTTTATGTCAAATAGTCTTTATTTAAATGATCTCCATCTTTACTTTAGGATGTTAATGGAAGAGGCTGCTGAACATTAGTTATGGCCTTTGTGGCATTAAGCGATAGACTTACACCCTCCCCTCCCCTGTAAATGTGTCCAGTGAATTATATCGACACAAATCCATTGCTGGCTTGTTTGGGGCAAGTAGGCTGAGGTGTGAAATATTCTTGTAAATTGTACACAATAGTCAGCTTCTTTGTCTTGTTGGATGTTTTCGTCAGAAATTCCATTTTAAAAAATATTAATATCACTGTTCTAAGTCAGGAGGTGGCATAGTGGTTAAGGCACTGGATCCTACATGGATGACTTTACGGGTCAAGTCCTGGACCTGGTGGTAGAAAAAACACACTGGGTGCATGTGCACTGGGCACGCATGTCCAAAATCCGGAGAGGAGAAAGGAGGAGGAGGGATTGTGGTGTGGCCATCCCCCTTGGGGGAGTGATTTCTCACTTCCTCGCTCTCTGTGTCTCTATCTGTCTCACGCTATCTGGAGAGTGCACACACCTTATGGCAAAAACCTAACCACACAAACAAAAAATCCCCATGTTTTTGTTACATCTGCTTACGTTTCCCACATGTCTTTTTAGTCTCCCATTGTCTTTAAGATTTCTTTTTCTTTTGAAACAATATGGGAGCGATATTTCTAATCAGGCCAGATTGTGTTAATTGGTGAATTTTGCCTGTTTAAATTTAACAAAGGATAGATTTTATTGCAACACTTCTAGTTTATCCTTTGTTTAGTTTACATTACCATTTTTCCTTTTTCTGTATTTTGCCGGTTTGTCAACTTACTGTTTTGGTTCTCTTTTCCCCTTTGTTAATCGAAAGAATGCCACTCTGCACCTCTGTTCTGCTAGTGGTGATTCTGTTATTCCCAGCCCACTCATACATCCTGAACCTGAAGAAGAGAGAAAATCTTTATTCCATAATGAAGTTCTACAGTGGGCTGGCCTTGTAGCTCAACAGTTTAGGGAACCGGATCCTGTATGACTGACAGTGGTTCAGCTCCCAGTCCCAGTGGTTTGAAGGACATGCTGAGTATGCGTATGCCCCAAATCCTGATAGGATGGAAAAATGGAGAAGGGATCAAGGTGTGACCATGCCCCTTAGGGGTGCTTTCTCCCTCCATTCTCTGTCTCTCTGGTGAATGCATGTGCCCTCTGGCAGTTTAAAAAGAAGGCGACAGAGAAAGCATGACCTGGCATTGAATATTGGAAATATCTGAAAGCAAAAAAGTGTGGGGGTACTTTAAGATGTCTGTAGAAAAATTAAAGTACAAGTTTATTCTGCATGCATAATTTTTTCTCCTTTTGAAACATGTACTGGAGGGTGTGTGGCCTGACTGAGGGGAGAGGAAGAGAGAACCAGAAAATCCTCCTCCAGGGGGACAGTCGCACTGCGATCCCTTCTCCATTCCTCCCTCCTTTGGGATTTGGGCACACGTGCACATGTGCCCCATGTGCTTCTCAAGCTGCCGGGTCCGGGACTTGAATGGCACAGCTGGCCATGTGGGATCCAGCCACCTTAACCACCAGGCTGTGGGATGGCCCTAGTTTTTTCACAATATGCATTTTTCATGAACTTTTTGAAGATCGCTCATAGGACAACATTGAGAGAATGAAACTCTGGAATTCCTAGATATCCTTCCAAGGAGGAGAGACTGTCCTTGTGGTAGTAGCAGTTCTGAGATTAGAGCCACACGGGTTGTGTCTGAGGAAAACAGCTAAAACTGAATGCAAGGTCTGCTCAGGACGGCAAGAGAACGTGCAGGGCACAGGTGCTAGGGATCTGTGTGGGGGACCTGGAACGGATCTGGGGAAGGGACCTTGCCAACACCTTATCTACATGCTAAATAAGGTCCTGGGGGAAAAAGGCATTTGGAGGAAAAGAAATCCAATTTGAAATCCTGGAACTGACATGACTAAACTCAGTGCAGTGTAGGCGCTATTTCAGAGGTGTCATCTGGGTGGGTGTTCAGCAGAGCCAGGGCATCCATCCACTCAGGGCAGCTCATCTTCTCTGAAAGGCACCAGCAGTTGGGGATCAAGGGGTATTTTCAGTTAACATGCTGCTTTGTTCTCTGGCCAGCCCAGGGACTGTGATACTGGGGTGAGGTTCAGGGGAAGTTTTGCTAGGAAGGGAAGGACTTGGCCTTACTGAACCCATAAGAGCAGGTCCGGAATGGACACTGGCTGTGACAGTGATGCCCGCAGCGTGCCCTGCCGTGACCTCTCAGTGAATGTCCCCCACTTACACTCTAGCTCAACCTGCTATTGAGCTTTGGATCTCCATGGGCCTGTGGGTTCCATTCTGTGTCATCATCTCCTGCTGGCTGAGAGGGCCTGGGGGTGTACAGATCTGGCCCTTTCCAGATGAGGTTAAAGGTCACCTGAAGTCCTAGGGAATGTGTGAAAGTGTTTATCATTGCTTAGAGGAAAAGGTGAAGAGAACTTGGATAGGAACAGGCTGTGATAAGGAGCCCGGGACAGAAGGACTTAGAAACCCCATCCTCAGGATGTCCTTGTCACAGGCCAAAACTGTAGTGTGGGGACGGCTCCATAGGCTAGTGGCTCAGGGAGAGGGAT